GCCCGACCGGCCCGCTCGCCCCGCCCCGGGGCAAATTTTGGGAAGGGTACTCCAAAATCAAGTATAAAATGAAAGCATAAATAAAATGTTCAATTATTGGATGATTGAAAATCGGGTTTGGAAAGAGGCACGTCATATCAAAGTTGAAGGGTGTCATCGAGCGGTAAAAATCACCGCGGATTTTGGTCAGTCGCTCTCCGGTCGCGCACTTTTCGGCCTTAAAAAGGACCTCCGCATAAGGACGAAACCGAATCCGGTCCGGCCCGGCCCGGCCCGGCCCATCACAAGTATGATCTCGCCGATCGATTCTGCTCATGCTGCCACTACGACTGCCTCGCCCACCGCCACTTCCACCTCGGAAGCTCCGCCCACTCAGTCCCCAGCCCCAATCGTCGAGGAAGAACCATGTGAAGTCGATGTTGATGACGTGCCTCTTCTCACCTAATTTGTTAACACTTTTTTTGAATTAGAAAATATTTTTTCCAGTAGAGCACGTTTTCTGGCCACTCAATTTTTTTCAATTTCAAAAATTATCGATTTTTTCCAAAAATAAAAAAATATTCATTCATTTTTGTTCAATTCTCCCGTAACCCAAATCGTGAGCCGCTCGATTTTTGAACTTCATAATTTCCGAATGAAATTTGATGAAATTGTTCAAATTTAGAATTTTTGCTGAACTTACAACAACCGAGGCATTTGAATGGGCAAATTAGGATTGAACAGCAGCAATTCATCTGAATTTGAATGGAAAAAAGGGAAAATTGGAGGGATTTTGAAAAAATTGCACAAAATACTTACAATTAAATTTTTGGATTAACTTTTGTATTTATTTGTGATTAATTTTTAGGAATGACTGATTTCTTCATTTTTGCCAATTTTTACACGCTTTTGACCTTTTATAGCGTCGAAAACTAGTTTGAAAACTCATATAAAATGTGTAAAAGTCGGTATTGCGCCTTTAAAGATACCATGAACGGTTTTACGGCGGGGAAGCGAAAAAAGTGAGTTTTCAGCGGGAAAAGCAGAAAAACAAAACTTTTTCGCGATAATTTTTTAATTTTATTGGATTTGCGTCACAAAAACTCAATAAAACATGCTAAATATTGCCGAAAAGGAAAGTTTGTCGCTAAACTTTGGCTATGCGCCTTTAAAGGTACCATAAACCAACTTGACGGAATTTGTTGGAATTTCTCTAATTTTTCATTTTTCATCAATTTTTAGCAATGTGTGTGATATGCATTAGTTTGTCAATTTTCTATGATTTTTTTGATAGAAAAATGCGAAAAAACGTTGAAAAATGCCGTTTCTCAGCTAAATATGGTAAATTTACATGAAAAAATGAAAAAAAATTACTCGTGTTAAACAATGTACATCACCCGGAATCGCGGAGTGTCGTACCGGGGAAAATAATTTAATTTTTCCTTCGCGTTTTTATTTTTGATCTACTGACCTTTTCTACTGACCGACCCGTTCCTTCTTTGATCTACTGACTTTTTCTTTGAGCGCAGGCGGGAAACGTCGTCATTCCTTCTCCGATTTCTCGTCATTCTTCACATCAGAGCCACCTGCTGGCTGGTCGCTCGTTTTTTTTGGCTCCGGGACTATTCTCAGCGAGACATTTCGCAGCCGTTTTTTCGCGTTTTTCGGTTTTTAATCGAATTTTTCTCGCCTAATTTTTAGTTTTTTCGGTGAAAACTTGGCAATATTAAAAAATTTCGTTACAAAAATGCACAAAAACACGGGAAAATGCTAAAAAAAAAAGTGTTCAAAGTAGTGAAAAATTGAGAATTTGCTTAGCTTGGCATCACAGCTATTAATTATCGAACAATAACTTCGGAAAAATTTTTCAGTACAATAATAAGAAACATTACAATTATTTTACTAATAATTAATAGCTGAAAACTCAAGCTAAGCGAATACTCAAATTTTGCACTACCGAACACCTATTTTAGCATTTTTCCGTGTTTTTGTGCATTTTTGTAACGAAATTACTCAATATTACCAAGTTTTCACCGAAAAAACTGAAAATTAAGCGAGAAAAATTCGATTAAAAACCGAAAAACGCGAAAAAACGGCTGCGAATTGCCCCGGAGCCGTTATTTTTTTTGCTCTTTCTCATTTTGCTTCTGGTTCTTTCTCTTAACTTTTCACGCATTCTATTTATCTATTTTCAAGCGATTCGACACGCCACAAATCCGCGAGAAGAGAGGGAAACAGAACGATGAATACAGGTACGGTTTCGATTATGTTGTGCTCTCTTTGCCAAAATTTTTCAGAGCCACCAACTGCCAAGCAGTTCGAGAGCAGCGAATAAATGGAGTTTGGAGGTGAGCGGATAAATTCAAAAAAAAAAAACAATCATAAAATTTTGATTTCAGTTCAGTTAGCGGGATCGTTCGACTCCAATGATGCAGATCGGGAAGGAGGAGACGCTCACAAGGATCTTGCTCTCGAGGTACGTCCTTCAAAGTCCCCCCCCCCCCCCCAGGGAAAATCGAATGACGACAGAAAAACCGTCACGTCTCCTTTTTTCTGCGACTCCGCCCCGTCCTAGCTGAACAGACTCCGCCCCCCTCCCACACACGGTCACTCCTAATCCATACTGTGGCATTCTGTCTTTGGCAATTTGTCATCATCTCGTCTACCTTTTTTGTGATCCGCTCCCCCTATTTTCTGGCCTGTCCTTGAATCTATTGCTCACATTCGAACAAGTAAATACTGATGTGTTTACAGATCCTCGGATGCGAGAGCGGCGATTGGACAGAATTGGATGGAGCAGCGGCACAAAGGAGCAGCTTCAGTGGACTCGGAGTGGAATCAAATGGATGAAAGGTACTTTCAACAGGAAAAATTAGATTAGAAATGGGCTACTCAATGAGGCATCATTCTATTTGATAGATAAGCTTACTAAGGTTGTAAAGGTTGGGTATTAGCTTCTTCGTGCCTGTTATGATAGGATATCTGAAGGGAGTAGTCGCATTATTACCTTGAACTTTGGTTAAACGGGGTGGAATAACAAGTGGGTGTTTAGTTTCAGTTTCTTTTCCCAATGATGATGGGGGACTGGGGAGAATTATTCATTTTATTATTTTATGCCCCCAAGAGACGTGAATTTGATACAAATATTAGTTTAAAAGATCACGTTTTCCGTGTCCTTTTTTTTTCAATTTATTTTTTCTACGATTCATTTTTCGTTTGCTTCGCATTCGAGATACATTCGCATGTCGAATCAGTTGAGTTGGCGTTCTTTCGTTTCTTCTTCCGATGCTAAAAAGATCCTGAGAGAGTTGAGGTGCCAACATGTTGACCTCGGTGACCCGTTGTCAACTCTCCATTGTATTCTGACAGCAATTGATATCTTCCGTTTTCATCTCATGCTAAATAGGCCTGGATGGGAGTATTCGAACCACTGCATTGTGATCGGGCACGCTGCAGAGGTTTACTCTTGTTCCTGGTTCTAACAGCTTTCCATGAATCGCAAATCTCTGTGTTTCACTATTTGGTGCCATCCTTCGATTGTTCCTTCTGATGCTAAATAGCCCTGGAAAAGAGTATTCGTGCTGTCGCATTGTGATCGGGCACGCTGCAGAGGTTTACTCTTGTTCCTGGTTCTAACAGCGATTTCTAAAAAAGTGCCCCCCACCCTCAGATGTTTTTTTTTTCAAATACTTTTTTTTCAGGCGTGATAGACTAACAAAATACGGTTTCGACTGTGGAAATCGCCGTCTTTAATTGGGTAGGGAAGTGCTTTCATTCATAATAAAGTTTTTTTTTCTCGAAAGCACTTCCTCTGCCCAAATTTTTATCAATCTTTTTTTTTTCTATTGTTCAAATATCACAAGCAATATAACAAACACACACATAACGATTATTTTTTCCACCCGAAACTCAAAAATTAGAACATCAAAAATCTATATTTTGAAATCCCAG